CAGTTGGGATACATATAGCAAACCCTAACAGGGTTGTACTCGCTATAGAGCACCCCACTACAGGCTAGATAATGACATTCTGACACACCCCCATAGCCAAAGTGGGGTGTAATCAGCAGAGCACGCAGTCATAGAGCAGGTTCACAAATGCAAGCAAAGCTAGAGGCTATCACAGAGGGCAAGTGAGGAGGAGGAGGAACTGTGGAAGGAGAGAAGATGGGAGGCAACGACTGAAGCTGCAGAGGCACGGGCACAGGAGCGGCTGACTCAGTGGCTACCGAAGCAAGGGCGACGGACTACTGGAGTGACTGGCTCCGCGGCTAAGACGAGCGGCAGGAGCAACGGTCCCACTGGCGACTGGTGCAACAGGCTCACTGGCTACCGAAGCAAGGGCGACGGACTACAGGCGCTGCAGGCGACACGACAGCTACCTCCACACAACCTCCTCCAACTGACCCACACCCTTGACACACACCCCCTACTGAACCCCTAACTCCACTCCCACGTCACCCCCCTAGCACCACTCCTTCGGCTCCCACACACCCACCCCCCTGAGCGGCAGCTGCAGCAGCGGGAGACGGAGGAGGAGGAGGAGTAGTGGAACGGCGCACAAAAACCGCACCCCCATACCCCCCACCTCCAAACCCTAATTCAGGAGAACGGGCAGCAGCAGGGGTGGGGCACCGTCAGAAGCACGGGGAGAGAAGATGGGAGGCAACGACTGAAGCTGCAGAGGCACGGGCACAGGAGCGGCTGACTCAGTGGCTACCGAAGCAAGGGCGACGGACTACTGGAGTGACTGGCTCCGCGGCTAAGACGAGCGGCAGGAGCAACGGTCCCACTGGCGACTGGTGCAACAGGCTCACTGGCTACCGAAGCAAGGGCGACGGACTACAGGCGCTGCAGGCGACACGACAGCTACCTCCACACAACCTCCTCCAACTGACCCACACCCTTGACACACACCCCCTACTGAACCCCTAACTCCACTCCCACGTCACCCCCCTAGCACCACTCCTTCGGCTCCCACACACCCACCCCCCTGAGCGGCAGCTGCAGCAGCGGGAGACGGAGGAGGAGGAGGAGTAGTGGAACGGCGCACAAAAACTGCACCCCCATACCCCCCACCTCCAAACCCTAATTAAGGAGAACGGGCAGCAGCAGGGGTGGGGCACCGTCAGAAGCACGGGGGACAGCGAGCAGCTCATGGGCAGAGAGGAACGGGCCGCCCACGGGCCTGGCACAGCCCGACGAACCGCGCGCAGGCGGCCCGAGCCGCGCGCGGGCCTGGCGTAGCCCGTACGGGCCGCGCGCGGGCCTGGCGCAGCCCGTACGGGCCGCGCTCGGGGCTAGCGCAGCCCGCGCTGGCCGGGACGGGCGACGGGGGACGACGGGCTGGTCCCCGTCGCCCGTCGAAGCGCCCCCCGGGGGCGACGCGCGGACCGACGGGGCAGAAAGCCGCCGCGCGCCTCGGGGCGCACGGCGGGCAGAGAACCGCCGCACGCCCCGGGGCGCACGGCGGGCAGAAAACCGCCGCGCGCCTCGGGGCGCACGGCGGGTAGAAAACCGCCGCACGCTCCGAGCGCGCGGCGGGAAGAAAAATCCGTCGCACGCCACGGGGCGTGCAACACACAGAGTAGCAGCGGAAGCAGTTAGGTGGGCCCACAGGCCAGGAGCGTAGATGCTCTGATAGCATGTTACAATAGTAAGCACAGTGAGGAGCCATAGCTAGGCAAGAGAGAAATGAACAAAGGAGGGGTTTCACTAGCAGCAGTTGGGATACAGCAAACCCTAACAGGGCTGTACTCGCTATAGAGCACCCCACTACAGGCTAGATAATGACATTCTGACACTCGCTACTTCGATTCATTGCACCCGTAACATCACCCTTTGAAACATCTGGTCGTGGGTTATGGGAGATAACGAAATCAGGGAGTGTTTCTATCCGGTGTCAGACATCAGGTCAAAGCTTCGGAAGACACAAAGTGACTTGGTTTGTGTCTTTCGAACCTAAAATTGCCAGCATTCCGAGTCGCTTTGGGTCTTCCCAACCTCAACTTCGTGTCTGGCTTCGTGTCTGACACGGGATAGGAACTCGCCCTAAGTTGCCCTTGGGAATCGGACGAGAGCGCGAAGAAAGGCGCGTTCAGAACTTCTGCCCAAAGGAATTGGAAACGAAGGAAAAGTGGCAAGGGTAACTCCCTCGTTCTTGTACGCGGTATGGGCGATGACGCGAGGATTATGTTGTTTACTTACACGCGTTCTGCTGTTCTTGCTATTTTTCAGCACCTCCTGCTGTTCTTAGGGTGTGTCAGATCCGTTGTCGGAAAAATCCGGCCGGCCGGAATTAGCGAAGGTAACACATTCGCGACATCCGCAAAGATTTTCGAAGAGTTCGCCAAATCCGGCCATTTGCAAAAAAAATGATGGCCGGTTCAGCATTCGACAAAGTTCCGACGTGCAGTCGACTCGAAAGTCGACCAATTTGTCGACCTGAGATTGCTACAGTCACTACGCGACGTCGCCAACTCGTGCGACGCAACGTGTCACACAAGTACTGCTTCTGCGATTCCGTCGCACAATCCGGCGACCCTGGCGAACTGCAAATCTGACACATTTGCAAAGCGGCCATCAAATCGGCCACCAAATGTGTCAGATTTTTCGGCCCTGTAAATGTGGCCGGATTTTTCGTTTTTGAAGTCGACCATGTTGTCGACTTTGGCGAAAGATATAGTCGACCAAGTTGTCGACCAAATTCCGGCCAAATCACCTTGTAACGGATCTGACGCGCCCTTAGGGCGACGTCAGGTTGTACAGCTTTTTGTACGCCCTCTCCGGTAAATTTTGTTTTAACAAGGTGCAGAGCGGTAATTGTCGAGAATCGCTTTTCACCGTGCTGGACCGTCCTGAACCAGGATACATGAACTGTGAGCGCGTGTGGAATGTATAACCTGACGTCGCCCTTACTATTTTTTTCGCCGTCAGAACCGCTGTCGTCCAACTCAGCTGCTAAGCGCTTCGAAGTGACAGGGATGACGTGGGTGGGATGTCACCTGCAGCACGCAGTCACCTCACCAGAAAATGCGTCTCGAGGTGACCCCTCCTTTTCGGAGGATCGCGACTCGGTTGTTGCTGAGCTGGATTTGTCGAAACTGATCATCATTCAGCACCATGCTTGCAGCAACAACAAGGGCAGGCGACGCGACTTTTGCTCCTTTCCCTTCACTTCTTTGTGCAGCTAGGGCATCCTCCTTCCCCCTCCCACATTTCACAGGTTGCATCCCATCTTGCACGATTTTACAAGGCGCGCACAAGCTCTTCAGCACAGCATCACATCACGCTCACTCTGCATACTTTCCCAAGACAATCTTGAAAGGAGCCCGACGGCGGCGGCCCAGCTCACCTTTTTTGTTCACATGCCTGAACCAGCTCAGCAGAGGAGACCAGTCCAATATGCATCCCAGCAGCTTCTCCCAACCGCCACTTATACTCGAGCCAAGCCATAATTCTCCCCATCATCCAGTACTACCGGGCCGTGCTCCTCAATCACCTCAATCTCTACAAATATGCCCACAAGACGATCTGTGGCAACAATAGTCCAGGAACTGTTCCTTGTTCGGAGCTAGTGCGTGATGCGCTCTTAGTTCGACAAGACATCGTAGTAGTCGATCACGTTTTCAGTCGCAAGGATCTACAGACGTTCTCTTCCTCTTGCTTCCCGCACCCGTCGCCACCGCTTTGACGGCAATCTCCATCGCAAATATGCCGTCACCCGTAACCAATTACCGAAAAAGTCTTTCCGTTTTTCTTCTTTTCTCCCTGCTCCTCATCGCTCCATCTACTCACTTCTTCTCCAATAGTAACTCACATGGCAATGGCCTCCCTAGGCGCTACCATTATCTCTGCGAAGCAGTGAAGATCTACAAACCGGATCAATCGATCCTCCTTTACCTGAAATCCCGCTGGACCGGTTTTCAATACGCGGACTCGTGGATCGCAGGCACGGACTGCTCGACGTGCCGATTCGAGGTCCGGCGCCGTCACGCGCCTCGATTTCTCCGGCGCGTGGATCAACGGCACAATCCTGCCGGCAATTGGAAACTTACCGGCCCTCACGAGCCTGGTATTCTGGGGCAACACGCTTGCGGGGAGACTCCCGTCGTCCATAGGCCTGCTAAGCCGCCTGCAGGAGCTGCGAATAACCGACAACGGTCCCGGCATGCGCGGAAACATACCGGCCTCGCTTTCGCGTTTGACGAATCTCGTCTATCTGGACCTTTCACGCAACCGTTTTTCAGGTCCCATTCCCGAATTTATTCTCGGCGGGACGATCAAGAAACTGGACACCTTGGATCTTTCGGGAAATCGACTTACAGGAAGCATTCCTGGGGGATCGCTCGGCAGCCTTTCCGTTCTGAAGACTTTAGGTGTGACCGACAACCGGCTGACCGGTATCATTCCGACGGAGATCGGCAAGCTCAAGGCGCTGACGTACCTGATGGTCCAGAATAACCGGCTGGAAGGGCCGCTGCCAGCAAGTCTTACGGCGTGCACCGGCCTGGTGAGGCTGACGGCTGGGGGTAACCGTTTGGGGGGGGCCGCTTCCCGTAGACAGTCTTCTGCGACTCACGAAGCTGGAGGGTCTTTTGCTCAAGCGTAACGGATTCGTCGTTACGTCGCTAGCGCCTCTCGCGAACCATCCGAAGCTGAGAGACATCGACCTGAGCCAAAACAAGGTTGCTCGGCGAATCCTCGCAACCCTCGGGCAGATGAAAAATATTCAAAGCCTGAACCTGGCGGGAAACAGGCTGACCGGACCTGTTCCTGCATTTCTGCTAGCAAATCAGCCGAAGCTGTATGGACTCGACCTCTCTTTCAACAGGCTTTCAGGAAGCTTTCCATGGACTGCTGTGCGAGGCGCGCCGGACTTAGATTGGTTGAACATTCAGAACAACATGCTTTCAGGAAGAATTCCAGAGAACTCGTTCACGGGGCTTCACATGCAAGTTTTGAACATGTCGAACAACTTCTTCGCGGGAGGTTTGCCCAATTTCGGTACGCCAGAAGGGGAAAACAATCTAGATGTGCGTGGCAATTTCTTCTCGGGCAGACCGGAGATACGGGCGTGGGGAAAGAAGGTCTGCCCGATCGAAGGGCAGACGGAGAAACCCGGCGATGACGAAACTGTGTACCTCACTGAAGCTCGTAACTGCCTTTCACAGGTGCCTGGTTGCATGGTTACATCGCAACGCAGGACTAATTCATGCGCGGCTTTCTGCGGTGCTAACGGTAGATTCGGACCCTGTGCAGGGCATGGCACCTGTCGACCAACAGCTGTGGGTGGGAAAGTTCGGTGGCGGTTTTCGTGCGTGTGCGACAATGGTTACGCATTGAAACCAGGGAACGCGTTTGCGTGCGAGCCCAAAGCAGCAGCAGCGGTGAAAGTATGAAACTCCTAGCCCACAGCAGCAGCGCAGTCTAGGAGATACTGGAGAAGACACTCCATATGATACCCATATTTTTCTAGATTAGATGAATGGCATATGATACCGTATTAGGGTATGCATGTGAGGGGGTAGGCTTCAAACGTTGAACTAGTTGCCAGCAGAGTAGCAACTTTGACAGAATCTGGGCAAATCTGTTTGCTTTTTATATCAGTGGATATATATTTTAGTGGCTTCTTGTAGTGTTTTTGATGATCATGCCTGTGCCGTACGTGCCGTACTATTGCTACATCTTCTGAAGTGTGTTTCCTCCTGGCTGTCCTATTCCTGGGTCCACAAGAAGTAGAGAAATGGTACCGTATTTACCCTGGTAATTGACCCCCCAAAGTTATAGACCCCCGGGTCGTTAAATGACGGGGGTTCTAATGCTATGCACTTTCGTAATAGACCCCCTTTGTTTTAACGAATCCGGATTAGATCCCCCTAACTGTATATACTTCTATTTTTAGCGAGACTGTGAGAAGGGACAGCTTGCTGTGGCGAAATTTGACTGACTTGACTGCAGAATCTGACGCGCGCGTGCCTCGCGTCAGGCTGTGGTCAAAATTTCCCTGACGCAACATTGGAATTCTCGTTTCTGGGGCTGGAACACTGGTATTTTAAATGACTTAGAAAATATAAATGCACATAGGATTAGACCCCGAGTCTATTAAATTTACACCCACTTAATAGACCCACCCCCCTTTTTTTCCCCGGGGTAGGATTAGACCCCCGGGTTTATTACCCGGGTAAATACGGGTACCTACAAGCTGGAACCTTGTCTATCATATTCTGTAACTGCACTGCTCACCAGCTTGTTTGCATGCGCTGTGCCTTGCTCGAGTTTACAACAGGGCTGACGTTTCATATTAGGCCTCCCTGATTACGGGGAATTTTTTTCCCCTCTATTATGAGTGCACATTTTTCAGAATGATGCTACCCTGATTGCCCAGGGTTGAAAAATATATAACTCTGATTGTTCAGGGTCGAAAATCAAAGATCCTAGTTGTAACCCGCCCTTTGTTACCGGGGAAAAGGTATTGCTCTTCTTAAAGACTGCGTTCTGTGGTTTGCGCACGCTTTGAAAGCGCTAATTTCTACCCCTTTAATTTCACAAAGTGGTAATTATCTTTACATTTTAGCGCGGGGAAGAGACGAGCGATTTCGGTCAACCGAACATTTCGATTCGATACCACAGATGTGCCAAATTCTTAAAGCCAGGATCTCAAGTAAGAGAAATTGGCTTCAATTGCAAAACACTTGTAGCTCGAGTCACCCTGTTTGTGTAGGCGAAATCGTATGGTTGTGTTGGAATAACCGAAAGGTTATATAAAGCATTCCCGAAGCTGTTCCACTGTACCAGTACCGCAATAGCTCATATAGAGCATGCGGAATACCGAGGGTCACCCGAAGGTCAACCGTCTGAGGAAGTCAACGGCCGTGACCCTTGACAATCCAGTAACCGCGAGACAGTTAATTCACTGCAACATGGTAACTGTCGAGGATAGCAATAGTCACGGTTACTGTAGCTATGCAATACAGTTAATAAGGGAATGTACCCCTCAGAGTACATGGCTAGCTAGATTTCTATTTAATCTCTTGTACTCCTATCTTTCAATCATCTTGTTCTCTTTCAATTATTATTCAACAAGGTCACTACAGAGACTTCATTGTCTCCTCCCAGACTCAACAGATTCTATCCTATCCACTGGATCCTTGGTTATATCAGCATGGTATGAGAGCTAGAGTCGATTATACGATCTGTCAAGTCCTCGTTCTTCTCAGAACAATCCCTTTATAAAGTTATTCATTACACCTCAAAGTCTGCAATACTATGGCTCCTGAAGGAAAAGCTACTGCAGACTCACCGGGCCCACCACCAACAACGCCTAACGCGCCATGAGCGGTGACTTCCGTCAGCACCGCTGTCGTTGAGGAGCTAGTCGCACGCATCAACGCCCTTGAAAGCCATCAAGCAATGAGCGTTGACGGCTCAAGCTATGCACGTGGCGTTGCCGGACTTCCTCTCCCTGGAGAAGACCGCCGCGTCAACTCCGAGAGATCCTTCACCTTTGACAATCGTCAAGGGTCAGCTCCTGCACAAGACAACCCACAGCGCTCACAGTCAGACATTGCTTCAATGCAAACCAATTTTGTATTGACTTCAAAATTGAAGACCTCAATTCCTTTCGACGGAAAAGATTTCTACACGTGGAGTTTCGAATTCGAGCTTCTCGCGACAACCGCTCAAATCTGGATGTACTACGACGGAAGCCTACCTTTTCCCTCGGAAGGTACCATCCGGGAGAAGCATCAATACTACCACGAATCCCTCCTCGCATACACCGCTCTCCTTTGCAATCTCTCACCTGAAGAGCAGCTCGGCATTCGCCCTTATAAGACGGAGTGGGCTCCCGCGCAAGCCTCCTGGGAACACCTGCGCAACTCATACATGGCAACAGATCCAGTTACGATGAGCCGTCTACTCAGCCAACTGACTTCGGTTAAAATGAAGCAAGGGGAGAAAGCGGGACCGTATGTCAACCGGTGCCGCAATCTGCGTGACCAAGTCAAGAAATGCGGTGGGACTGTCCCCGACGACATGTTCATCTCGATGGTCATCTCTGGCCTCGGCCCCGACTGGCGACAATGCCAGTCACTCCTTCGCGCCCGAGCAAGCATATCAGAGTCAGCTCTGTGCGCCACGCTTCTTTCGGAGCAGAAGGAAATCGACCTGTACAACGAGAAGAATGTTAAACGGGAGAAATTAGTCTTCTACACAGGAGCGACACAAGGGGAACAACGTGGAAAGAAGGGAGCTTTCTGCAAATACTGCAAGAAGTCTGGCCACTCTATCGACCAGTGCTACAAGCGTCAGGCCGCTGACGAGCGGCGCAACGCCTCCAGCCAACAACCATCGACGCAGGCAAAGCCCTCCGCCACTGTGTCGCCTCCTTCCGTCGCCAGCACTTCACAATCCCCTGCACTCATCACGGCGAAGGACAAAGGAAAAGGAACAATCATAAGCTGCATGGCTCGACGCAACATAGGGTCCTGTTACTGGGATCAAGTAATATTCACTCGCGACAATCCCATCAACCCCGTTGCGCCCAGTCCAGACAATGACCCAACAGCTTTTACCTGGTCCTCTCGCCCCTCAGACATTCCTCCTGACTTCGAGCTCCCTCCCCCTACTCCGGAATCGCCGCCGAGCATTTCCGCAAATAGATATTTCGCCCTCTCACCGTACACCGGCGACCTTGATCGCATCGTCACGCCGAAGATTGCCAACCTCGCCCGCCAGCGCTACGAGGATCTGGACACGTGGTACCTCGACAGTTGCTGCGGACAACACATGGTGGGATCGCCAAGGTTCATCAGCAACTCTCGACGCATGCGACGACCCTGCGAAATCACCGCCGCCAACAACGGAAAAATGAAGGCATATGAGATTGGCGAAATCTACCTCGAGGCCGATGACACGAAGTTCACCATTCACATCGGGAACGTTCTCGTCGCCCCTGACCTACAAAACAACTTACTCTCATCAGCTCAACTCATGCGGTGCGGAATCGACATTCGCAGCAATCGGAAGGAAAAGACCTTCGAGCTCTTCCACAACGAAACTTACATCGGAAAGGCGATCGATGATGATGGAGTCTTCGTGCTGCAATTTTCGGCTCAGGGCACCACCGGCGACTCCCACCGCACACTGCTACTGAAAACAACTCCCACGGAGCCACCAACATGGTCACATCCCGACGAGATGGACCTCGAGCGACCAGCCTCCGACGGCCTTCTACGCTTGCGCACTGTCCCGACTGCCTCGACCTCCAACCCTGCAGAAACCGGACCTGCCACAATGGAAGAAGACAGCGGCACGTCAGGATCTGCAACTCAACCAACCGAGGAAAACAAGACAGCGGAGACACACTGGCCGGGCTGGAACACTTCCGAGCCCACGCTCGGACCCTGGGGAGAAGTACTAACTCCAGAAGAAGCAGCCGCAAGTGGGAGGGGCGCAGTTCCAGCAGAGGAAGTTGGCGCAACAGCAGGAGAAGCAGTTGGAGAAGCAGAGATCGCTGAAGACACATGGGGCGCCAGAGGAGGATGGGACACCACGGCCGAAGCAGAACAAGGGCACGCGGAAGCAGCTGGTTTCCCTCCTGCGGAAGTTGCCGTCGTCGACCCATACTGGGCAACTCGCGGCACCTGCTGGGGAGGTCCACCTCTCCCAGATCAATACGCCCCTGACACACCCGAGCAAATGGAAAAAGGGTCAGAAGAAGAAGAAGAAGCCTACGAATTTATGGGAGAACCAACAGAGTTACCCAAACCTACCGAGGAGCCGGAGCCGCCAGTACAAGGACCACAAGAAATTGAGGTCATCGGCGCTGAATACAGTTACTTCAGAATCCCCGTGAAGGGACTCCCAGTTCGGGAATGGCCCAACCAATGCCTGCTCGTTACCGGAGACCAAGTCGAAGCCGGCGACACCGACGACATCATCGGTATTCCCCGCGTGCTTCTGGAGCGAAAAGCAATTCGCGCGCTCGCCGCCGACACCGATTCCGCCACCGACGCAGGACCTGAAGGGGAGGCAAACGACGAAGCAGCGCGACAAAAATATTACCAAAAGACAGTCGGTTACCGTGCGGACCCAGAAACATGGCATCAACGGCTCGGCCATCCCTCCCACGCCACGCTCAAAAACTCGCTCAAGGCCGGAGTCTTCGACAACGACGCGCTCCTCCTTCCTCGAAACGGTTCCCTCACCGCGGACTCACCTAACCCGCCATGCATCGTCTGCCCAACCGCGTCGCTCAATCACCAGCCGTTCCCCGATTTGCTGTCAGAATCCCAACCACTAGACCATTGGGATAAAAGGGCTTGTTAAGTAGCGGGTCAGAG